TACTGTCATTTGTGTATTGATGCTTTGTAATCTGCCATTCCTGTCGTAAAGTTTTGATCAAATTATTTTGGTTCATGTAACGTTCTATGCCCTGTTTATTTCTTCACTCTCACAGCTTTGCTGAGTATTTTAAATGTCACAGCTACTTTAGTCATCTTTACAAACTTTTCCAATAATTTGTAGTAGTGGAAGCACATTTCCTTTAACCTTAGAAATTAACATTCTAATTGCTCTTAACAAGATACTTTAAAGATATTTATTAACTAGCCAAATTTGGTTAGTTGAGCATATCTTCCTATTTATAAATGCTTTTCTTGGTAATATAAGGTATTATTTCTAACATTTTACATTTACTAGTTAGCATACAGAATAATTCAAATGTAAAGTGTGTGTGTGTATGTGTGTATGTGAGAGAGAGAGAGAGAGGGGGGGTTTTATTTTATATAAAATAAATAACCTGTGTTGTGGCTTTATTATTTTTTTAACTCAGAATACTATTTAAATAAAAGACATAAATATGTTTGACTTCTATAAACATATGATTCTGTAATTTTTATATCTTGTATTAATATATAATGTGCTTTGAAGAACTCTTGGGGGCTAATTTAGTCAATAAAAATGCTTGAAAAAAAACAAAAACCTTCCAGTTTAGTGCACAAAGGAGGGGACTATTAATAACTGCCAAGGCAAAAGGACAGCATCTGTAGCCTAGGAACTAAAATTAGTGACAGCGCTAAAGGGAGTTCTACCAAATTAAGCTTTTCAGAAGACTGCCATGGGCACTTGTGTAAGGAAGACAGATCACCTCTATTAGCCTTGCAATAAATAAATAATAAATAAATAAATAACAGACTTCTTCCTTCTGTATGTGGGCATTTAATTACACTGTTTATCTAACTACTTTGGGCCATGTATATAAACAAGATTGCTGGGAGAACTTGCTTTTCTTTGAGAAGCAAAGGATAGCAGAGGACATTTTTATTAAAAGTGCACTTTAAGCTAATTGATCCATTACTACAAGGCATTTTATACTGTTTTTCAGAAATCACAGGATAAACTCATTAGATGCAGACAAAGGCTTTATGATAAAATCCAAAATCCTCTTATGATAAAAGTCCTAGAGAATCTAGGTACACAGGGGAATATTCATAATAATAATGACATTATACAGGAATCCCATCACCAAAATCGCATTAAATGGAAAAAAACTCAAAAGAATTTCTAACAAAATAAGGAACAATACAAGGATGTTCACTTTCTTTATTCTTATTCAGTATATTGCTTGAAGAGTTAGCTAGAGCAATAAATGAAAAAGATGTCAAATTACCCCTACATGCAGATACTATATTTTTATCTATAAAAGTACCTACATACTCCACCAGGAAACTTTTACAGTTGATAAATTATTCAGTGAAGTAGCAGGCACACAATGTTAACATGTAAAAATCAGTAGTTTTCCTATATGCAAATGACAAACTTAAGGAGAAAGATTAGGGAAACAATCCCATTTACAGTAGCCTGGAAAATACCTTGGAATAAATCTAACTAAAGAAGTGAAAGATAGATTAATAAAAAAGCTTTATGATAGCAAAGAAAGTAATTGAAGAAGATACAGGAAGATGCAAAGAAGCTTCCATGTTCCGAGGCTGATAGGAGTAATATTGTGAAAATGGCCATCCCACCAAAAGCAAATTGTAGACTTATGGAAATCTCCATCAAAACGCTAACTCAATTATCTTGGAATTTGAAAAACACAATCTTGAATTCACTTGGAAGCATACACACACACACACACACACACACACACACACACACACACACGAGAGGAGAGAGAGAGGGAGAGAGAGAGAGAGAGAGAGAGAGAGAGAGAGAGAGAGAGAACACAACCATGAATGAATAATAAAAGAATAGTAGAGGAATCCCTGTCCCTGACTTTAAGTTTGTTACTCCAGAGCTGTAGTGACAATACAGAGAACAATTTAGCACAGACAGGGTTCTTTCACAATTCTACTTTCCATTCTAAGGGCATGTGATATTCCCAACAGTGACAATAACCGAAATGATGGTATAGAGCACCTAATTAGTATTTACTGATATTAATTTGTTTTCTCTCACCATAACCTGTGAAGTTGGTGACTGTCATCACCATCTTATACATAAAGAAGCTATAGCATAGGTTGCTTAAGTATCATCATGTCCAGGATCATTGCTAGAGTCCCTAGAAGTTGGTTTGGGTGAAATTACAAGAGAATTTGGTCTTTACTCAAGTTTTATCCCCTCACAGCACTACTTCTGTTTTTCATTTCATTTCTTTGCTTTAGATTCTAGGTTGGCTCCAAATAATTTGAATTGAGTTCATATCAAGGGAAGATAAGATATTTTCCTCATTTTATTATTGATTCATATTTAAGAGCATGCAAGCCCAGCATTCAGAAGTCTCTTTCAAACCTCTGGGGGCTGTATAGAGATCACTTACATTTATTCGTGGTTCTGTACTAGGGATTGACTCTAGGCCTCACATTGCTAAACAGACATTTTTACTGATAGCCCAGTGCCAAAGATAACTTAATCTTTCTATGAAAGCATGCCCACTATGAAACCTGATGGCTGAGAGTTCTCATATCCAGTGTGTGGACTCTAGAAGGAATGGTGATTTTTCTTGGCTAGTCATGATGTCTTTATGTATTAAATCGGTATTTTAGATTAGGCTGTTCTTCCAGCTTGGAACTGGTCTGAGAAAAGTGATTAGCCATAGAACCCTATCATGGAGGCAAAGTAACTAATGTAGACTCCAAAATACATCTCCTCTTTGAGTTTGCCACTTTTATATCAAATTGCTAGCTTAACACTTTCAGAAAATCACTGTTAATGTGTAAATGAAGATAGAACACCAGGAATGCAGTGGCATTTTATGCCCTTGTGCTCATTGACGCAATGCAGTTACTCAAAATAGCAGAGACAACTGCCCCAAGGAAATCCATACCTGGTGAGTACAGTGAATGGAAAAACCACATCGCCAGGTTTATAAACGGTTGTGAGAAAACAGGACATTGAACAGCAGGAATGAGAGTGGTGGAGTTAATGTAGCTGCCATAGCAAAGGACAAGAGAGCAGGGCATTCAGAGGAGATATCTTAAAGGAGACAGGTCCTGAGAAAGGAAAGAGGGGTGGCATAGTGAAATGTAGATCACTCCATTTGATCAGGGACATTCTCACTTTTCTAGCTATCCTGATAGAAATGGCACTAACTTATACCTAGGGGCAGCATATCACAGCTGAAAGAGCAGGACTTACAGGGTCAAACATACACGGATTCAAATCTAATTCTATTAGTATGGGCTTGACTCAGTTATTCCTCCAATACAATGTGCAGTATGTTCAGATAACACACACACACCCTCTTGTACCACGTCTATGTCATATGATATATGATGCAATGTAAATAGTTGTCACCCTGCAGTCCTTAGGAGATGATGACAAGGAATTAGTCTACATGAGTTCAGTAAAGATACGATTTTCCTCTGGATACTGTTAAATCACAGTTGATTAAAACTGTAAATGCAGGGTATGGGTAAGAATTGGCTGCTTACAAGCTGACTTTGAAGGAAAACGAAGAGAACTCCAGCACATTAGGAGTGCACCGATGTTCATTACATGTTACGTTAGGGTGAAAATTTAACTTTTGTTAGATGACTAAAAAAGGCGATAGTGATGATGACCATGATGAAACAATCACAATCTAAAGAGAGTCAAATGTGTACTAAACACCACACACACACACACACACACACACACACACACACACACAATTTGTGTGTGTAATGTTAACCTATTCCTCATATTAACCCTAATAGGTGAGGATTTTCAATCCGTTTTCTCATAATACAAAGGAAATAAGCAGTGGTTGAATCATTTGTCCATGGTTACATAGATGATTGAGCTGCCTGACACAAAAATCTGTATTCTAACACAATGTCTGGAACTTGGGAACAGTCATAATTAATAACTATCTACTGTTGCAAAGCTGTGCCTTTGCTTCTTTTTGCTAGTATTCTTCTCTCTGATGCCAATGGAGGTCACTGAACTGTCTGTGGTAACTAATACTTCAATTTTCCATTCCCTTAAAACCCTTGTCACTAACTTTTCCCCTGGAAACATCTTGAAGTGAGCTAACTGGAGGAACTCTATATGCTGATTGTGAGAGCCAAGCCAAAACTTTGCCTGTCCTTGTGGGCCATCTCAAGTAGGATTTTATACTGATAGACTATATAACCCACTGAATCATGAAAGAACAGTGGTAATGAACAAGTTTTCTGTAGTAGAAACAGAGGAGAGAGAGTTTCCTAGACAGATAAATACTTTCCAGTAGAAATAAACTTAGCAGCAGTCTAATGCTGCTTTCCAGCTGTGGGTCTATGTGAGTTATCTTGGAGCCTAGTCACCATTAAAAATCTGTTTCTATAGGAAAATGCTTCCTAACAGACAAGGTGAAAGAATCATAAATGAATTCAATATCTATCACAGAACCTCGAACACAGTGTGTTCTAAAAACATGTATTGATTAATCTTTAGTAGAATTGTCACTCATCACAAAGTATAATACTGAACTGTCTAGGGTTTTCACTTCAATCAAACTTTAAATTAGAATTGCAAGGCAAAGTTAAATGTGACCTTCAGAGTGTGAATTAAATGTCATTTCATTTTTTAGTCAATATGACTGTACAAATAACTAAAGGATATTTGTAATTTCCAGGAGGCTTATAGTTGATAGGCAAGTAGAATGGTCCATCATTCTAGGAAATACTGCTAAGTGGTCTAGTATCCCAGCATTCTTGTTCTGATTGTTGGTATAGTCTTTCCAAGAATGGTTTAGATGACCCAGCTACCTGCCTGTCAGATGGATGAGTACTTGGTCTAGGGAAAATGACTCCTCAGGTATATGCTTTGGATACGGAAAAACACCTGCTTATTTCAGAAAAGAAACTATTTTGGTCTTTCAGATGTAACTGTGTGGAGCCACATAGTCCCAGCAATGACACACTGAAGGAATGGAGGGAGTCCAACATTTCTGCCTCTGACATCATTTGGGGGAATCTAAGCGTGTCAGTAAGTAAAACACGGCACAAGAAGTCACGTCTTGAGTCATTTACTGTAAAGACATTTAATGATATTTGTAATCAGTGTTGCAACTAAGGTAAGACTTTTGAAAACTTATACAAAGTGATAGCTTTATTTTAGAGTTCCTCCATTTCAGATATTCCATCCACACGGGATTTACATTACTCACAAAAATGATTCTTTTCATAGACCCGCATTGCTCTGAAGGTCCACACAAACAGAAGAACAGGACTGAGGTCAACTGAAAACATTAAATTCTACTGCTGGTGACCATCATGGCGGGGGCCGTTCTCCCTTGCACATGAAGGACCTAGGCTACTCACTTACTCTGCTTGCCTCTCCCACTGTTCAGAACAGGGTGGGGGAGAGAGTGGGCCTGATGTTTTACTATAAATACTATTCTTTGATTAATATGACAGTTAAGAAAACTCTTATATATTTGTCAACCGATTTCCAACTTCCGTTTTTATTCTTTAGTCTGCTAAAAAAAAGGGAAGGGGCCAGATACACAATTTGCCTATGAGTTGGCTAAGTCCTGTGCCTTTGCTTTATTTTCTTAGCCTTTCTTTGTAAGTTTTTCTCTCACAGGATTGTTTCTCTGTTCTTACTCTGTACCCTGTATCTCTTAGACATACAATAAGCATAAAGCAGAAATTAAATGTTGAATTTTTTAGGTTACAGATCTTACTTTTTAAAATCTGGTCATCCTGAAAAGAGTGGTCCCTTGTCATTTTCTTTAGAACAAGCCTTTGCTGGCTCTTGTCTCCGAGCATTTGTAATTAAGTCTCTGTGTCACAATTTGGAAGCTGGTTGGTGGTCTAAAAGAACGTCTGCTACAAATTACTTCCATCTCACATGTTTACTATTTAATTCACCTTTTATGGCAAGCCAGTGTACTTACATTTCTGTCTCTATGCACATATGTATGTATAGTCCACAGTAGTTCAAAGTCAACCACTCTAAAGAATATTTAGGCACAGTTTAAAATATTTCACATATGGACATAATAGCAATTAATGGGGAAGAGGCCATGAATTTTAAGAGAAAAAGGAGGATTATAGGGGAAGGTATGGAGGAAGGAGAGGGACAAGTATAATTATATTGTAATCTCAAATTTTAAAACAAAAAGAAAAAGTATTTGCAAGAGATTATCAGTTGATTGAAAATTGTTTTAATGCACACATATATATGGAAATACACTAATAACTCCAATTGTTATTTCATAAAATTTATTTTTGCCAACTTACAGAATTTTTTAAATAAAATGTGTTCATAGAGTAATTAGTAGAAACTTGTTTGTTCTCAAGTATCTTTTCAGTTTAACCATGTTAGACTAAAGTGAAAGAAAGGTTTTGAATTTTTTTTTTGCATTTCTAAATTTCAGGTCCCATTTCTCTCCCTGTCTCTCTGTTTCCATCCCACCCTTCTTTTGTGAGAGAAAAACAGCATAAAACTGAAAATAAATGCTGAATTTCATAGGTCATGAAATTTGCTTTTCAGAATTATAGAGTATGTCCCCTGGAAAACGAGAGAAACTGATACTTTACAATCTGCTTTGAGTTGAAATAACTAGGCTTAGGATTGTGGGTTTGTTTTAGATAAGGCAGTTGAATGATCTTTTACTAGTATCTGTCTTCTTAGGAGTAGCGGCTTTGAGCCAGCTGTATTCAGGGGACATGTAGAAGTCTTTCACACCTGCACCAAACTTTGCAGGTGCTCAGAGATCATTATGTACCTGTGTGGGACCCTGGCCTCCTCTACTTCAACATCCTGGGATCGATCATTGAACTATTTAGTAATCGTTCCCAGTTTTCACAATAGGCACACAAAAAAAAGATTGAAAAATTCATGGATTCGGTTATTGTTTTTATTTTTTATTTGTTCTGACTTAGATAACGAAAATTAAGGCTATAAATAGTGCCTAGGGGCTAGTAGTTTTTCAATAGCCATTTTTCTGTACCTTGAATCAGCTTAACATGAATAATTGAAGTTTAACTAATAAGAAAGATACTTGCAGGTGGTTAGGTGGTTATAAACAATGCTGATAGTATTTCTCCAGAGTCCTTGTATGGGGTACCTATGTCAGGTAGAATTTACTGGCTTATTGCTCGTTTCAGAGGACAATGTAGCATCTATGTTATGCTACAGATGGTTCAGCTCCTTGAGGTTTAATCCAGTGAAAATACTGTGCCCTCTAAATTTTCTTCCTGCTATGACACATTTCAAGTTTTGTTCAGAATACCTAGATGACTAAAGAATTCAATGAATTCTCTAAGATTTTTTTTGAACAGAGTAATATAATTTTTAGAATACAAAAGTCTTCCAAATGACAGAAATATTTTTTCCTTTCAAAATATTTAATGCTTATATAAATGTTGTTTTTGTCTTGAAGTTCTTTTTGACTTTGCTGCCACCTAATGGCTAAGGCAGTAATTTTTAAAATGTGGTTTCCTTTCTTTTTTCCTTTTTTTTTTTTTAGAAAGAAAGGCAGAAGATAAGGAAAAAGAAAATGGAAAGCAGAATAATAGACATAAATGTTGCCCTACTCATGTAGCAATTTTTTTCTTCATTTGTTCTTTGAATTTCAATAGTTACCATATCTGATTCAAGGTCCATTTCTTTAATTACATATTATCATTTTCTTGTTGCCTTTCTTGTCTTCCTTGGTAGCTTTAAAAACGTTTTCCTAAATAACTATTGGTTTTTAATATGCTACAATTCCTACCGCAGGAGTGGTGCATGTGCGCACCCCTACCACACAGCATCGATGAGGCTGAAGTACATTGCTCAATATCGCCATGCCTTGACTGTCTCAGATATCAAACATGAATGAAAATATCTATCTGTGCTGTTGGTGTGAAAAACAGTGAAACTGATATGTTTAAGTGCTTTGTCAGTATCTGATGTTAGCATAAACTAAACTTATCAGACTTACTGCATTTGAAGTACACCTGTTATCTTGAACTTAATAGAGGTTAGGTTTAATACCTATCAAGTAAAATTTTGAAAGCAAGTATCCTATCTGCTGAATCCTTGTGGGAGCCATTGATGAACAGTCTTGGTATATCAGCTGCAGCTGACTAGGTGTCTTTTTCTGGAAGAAAAGCACCCAACTTCCTTAGCCAGCTCTGTTTCTCTCCCCGAGCAGGAGTGCAGATCGCTGCATGGGGAGTACGTTGGGCGAGCCTGTGGCCATGGCCACCCCTACGTGCCAGATGTTCTCTTTTGGTCGGTGATCCTGTTCTTCTCCACAGTTACCATGTCAGCCACCCTGAAGCAGTTCAAGACGAGCCGATATTTCCCAACCAAGGTACTTGGACTCCAATATTCCTGAGCCAAATATAAGCTAAACCGCAGTTCTTGTGAGATCCCACATGCTTAAGGACAAAGGACAGCTACTGACTCATGAAGGGAACCATGGAGAGGTTTTGTCACGAGGGAATTGGCAAGTTAGAGGTAGGCTGTGGAAAGGGGTTGAAGAGGAAGCGCTCTCATGACTCAGGTATCTGAGGTGGCACAAGCCCTTCAGGATTTACTTCTGAGTGTCAACACTTCCCTTCCCACCTACAGTTTTGGAAAGTGTAAGCACACACCATGTTTCTGATTGTCACTTCCCCAGTAGGCAGAGGAGCCTATTTCAGCCTGACAAATACCTCAGAGGAGCATCTCCTAATCACTGGTTCTCAGCCTTCCTAATGCTGTGACCCTTCGATGCAGTTCCTTATGTTCTGATGCCCCAACCATAAAATTATTTTAATTGCTTCTTCATAAGTGTAATTTTCTACTGTTATAAATTATAATGTAAATATCTGTGTTTTCCGATGGCCTTAGGCAGACCCTGTGAAAGGGTCATTTGATGTGCAGAACCACTGCCTGTATGGAGAAGCTCTGCAACGCTCATTAGAACATCATTTCTCTCTCTTGTTTCAAAAGCGTCCATCCTTTCCTCTACCCCATCACACTTGTATATGCATATTTGGGAAGTAAACAGAGAATCAGTTGAGTGCAACATTTAACACTGCAAAGTAACGTCCATGACGTCTGATTCCACCACAAAAAGGGGCAGAGGCTGAGACAGAAAATAAAAGCAAGGAAACAAACATTTACAGGTTGAGGTACACATCTTAAAAACATTCTACCTTGGTATGTGTGTCAAGAAGAGTCCCTTCCCAGAGAGCTGCTTTTTCTGTCATATTCACCTTTGCTAAAAATGACAGATTCATTCCCTCCACCCCAGGTTAACCTGATTAATATTGAATTAGTTTCTGTATGTTGGAACCTTAATCCTGAATATTATGTGTGTATGTTGCAAAGGCATACTCATAGACAGCAAATATTATTGATAATCGCTTAAGGATAATTACTCAAGCATGTCCTTCTAGGACCTGAGAGATGGTTCAGTCATTGCAGTGCTTACCTTATAAGTATGAATGAGATCCTGAAGCCAGAGTCCCAGAACCCATGTAAAAAAAGCAAAACCAAAAACCAAAAACCTGTGTGTATTTGTGCACACAAGAAACTGAGGCGGTTCTTTTCTGACTTGCATGTGTGTGCCGTGCACCGTGGTCCCCACACAATGGCTTTCTGCAATGGGAAATGGTTGGAATTTGTATAGAATCCATTTTAAGTAAAAGAAAATGTAATTAAAACAGGTAATTCTACTTAGTGGTCCTTTAGATTCCTAATATTAAAATGTGACTTCTATGAAAGATGAAAGAGTCCTAAAATTCATCAGATTCAGGCCAGATGACCTCAATCTGTGTTCTAAATTGTTGCATACTTGAGCTCGAAATAAATGATTTAAATAAATATTGAAAAGAAAATGACCACCATTATTTCAGTTCAATAAATCTTCATTATGAAAAGTGTGGATGAGGAACAGAGATATGTATTCTAGCATAGCTAGTGATGATACTTTATAATGTGCATACAATGTAACATCACAGAATTACATCACAGCGCTTATAAAGTATGATTCGAGACTGCCTCTAAATATTCATTGTTACTTATAGCTCCCTCAAGTAACAGCATTTTTCTTTTTGTTTAGGTTCGATCCATAGTGAGTGATTTTGCAGTTTTTCTTACAATTCTGTGTATGGTTTTAATTGACTATGCCATTGGGATTCCATCGCCAAAACTACAAGTACCAAGTGTTTTCAAGGTGAACATAACTAGCATTTAACTTCTATCTACTTTTATATCTTTCTGTATCTAAATCTTCATGTAGATGATATCTCTGACCCCAGTACGTGAGATTTTCTTGAGAGCACAAACAATGTACATTACTAGAATAAGAAATAAATAATGCACAGCATGAATAAAATTGTGATCTAGTATTAAAAAGGAATTATAAAAATAAAACCTGAAGTCTGCTTCAACAATTTCCTGTTGGCCATTACAGTTGGAGTATATATGTACATTATAAGATGCCTAATCCCAAGGAATCATTGTGAAACCAAGAAATATGCATCATTGTGAGGAAAAAACTGTAGAGTGAATGGGGTTTGAAAACCAGATAAAACAGGCTTTGGATAAGAGTGCCAATCATATTACAAAGGGAGGACATGACCTTGAAGCCAGGAACTTACTGTCTCAGCCTGTTTTCTCATCTGTCAAACAGAGCTAGGGACCTAATCATAGAATTTTTTCTGTCATAATGAATTCCTCTGGGACACAGTTCCAGCACCAGACATATTTTGAACCTTTTTGTGAGCTTCTAATGTGACTGAATTTCTGGTTTGTATTTTTTTTAATTTTCATACAGTAGCCTGCATGCATACCTAAAAGAAGTTACTATATTAAAACATTCTGTTTATGTATCTCCTTGTGATTCTAAACTAAAAGAATGTTCTGTCTTATTTATTTATTATCTTGTTTCTAACATAGTATTCAATGTGCGATTTTAAATGTAGACAACAGTAAATTTGTCACCAGTAAATGGTAAGTATTGGAGTTATTTATTTAATTCAGGTATTGATGGAGAATATGCTTTTTTAATTAACCTGCTGGAGTTCAAATTCGGTCTCAATTAATTACTAGCCCTGGAACCTTAGACAATTTACTATAGCATTCTATGCCTCAATTTCATCTTTACAGTGTTGAGAAGAGAAAACGAGTTAAAAGACAACATAGTTAGAATGGTGTCCTTAATGATGTAAATCCTCCATGGGTTCATTATTATTGAATGATCAGACAACTACTTTGTAATTAAGAATTTCCTGTTTATATCCATATGACTTAGTCTGATTATGTATTTGTCAATCTAGGTAGTAATATGTATGCTTAACTTTTTTCTCAGCCTACAAGAGACGACCGTGGCTGGTTTGTGACACCGTTAGGTCCAAACCCATGGTGGACAATTGTAGCTGCTATTATCCCAGCTCTGCTTTGTACAATTCTAATTTTCATGGACCAACAGATTACAGCTGTCATCATAAACAGAAAAGAGCATAAGCTAAAGGTGTGTTTTAACATTGATTACAATATAAATAATCCTCATTTAGCTGATAGGAATCAGTAGTCATAGATTTTGGCTGTACTGAATATTCATTTGTTCAGGTTCATAGTTTTTATTGTTTTCCAGGACACGTTGTCTTACAGCGGCATGAAAATTTGCTTGCAACAGTTGACTAGCCTCTAACCTTACTTTTAGGGGGAAAAACAGTTCTAACTTTAGCATGCTTAACATTGATTTAATTAAATACTCAATTCTGGCAAAGTACAATTTTACTTACCAACCTCCCTATGTCTAGGCTGCCTCTTTCCTTTACTTGACATTGCATATGTCCATTATTATAAGGGATCATGTATTCAGGTATGTTTCACTGAATTATATCATTTAAAAATATTGTTTGTAATGCCTGAAACAAAGGAAGACCTTGGCCATAAGCACGATGGATTGTAAGTGGCATCTTTGAGCATTATTGCAGATTGCTAATAACTTTTCTAAACAGATAGATTTTATTTAAGGTATTCTGGCCTGCTGTTTTGTAGCTGGAATTCAAGATTTTCACTATCATCCAATTTGTATGCAATATAAGTATCATTATGTATGTAAATGTTAAATCAATAAAATAATTGAACTGTTAAATATAGTCAGAATCAATAAAGAAACGGGGCAGAAGACGGTGAGAGCCTGAGGAACAGGAAGTCTGCTGTGAGATAGATAATGTACCTGTGAAAACTCAACAAGGATAACACCTAATAGACGTGATGAGATGAAGGGGGTGAATCTCACCAGATTCCATTATTAGACAAAGAACTATGGGCAACTAATGACTGCTAAAAGAGAGAGAATTAGTCTCTCCCAGGGATGGGTGCCCTAATTGGTTATCCAGTACCAAATGATCAGCAAGTTATATTTATATATTTATGCATTTGAGTGTGTGTGTGTGTGTGTGTGTGTATGTGTGTGTGGTATGTATGTAACAATAATAAAAAGGCGAATCTGAGAGGATGTGGGGGGCATAGCAGATGTTGAAAGAGGGGCACATGGGAGGGTTTGGGGGTAGGAAAGGATGGGGAGAATGAAGTAATTATATTTAATTAAAAAATTTAAAAGTAAAAAGCAAACCTTGTAAAATAGGACATGTACAATCTTATTCTGTTCAGACATCTGAAGAAATTGCCTGCTGCTTTTGCGTGTATTTTAAACTAAAAATTATTGCTGAAGTAACAGATATTGTGCTATGTAAGATTTTATACATACATTAGGATAATTAAAATATCTGTATAAACTATTTCATTGCTATAACAATAATAATAGTTATAAGAATGAGCAATTATAATAAGTTATAAGGAGTTTGGAGTACTATTTGAAAAAATGGGCAATCCTCACACTCTCTTGAAGAAAATAATTTAAGGTGAAACTTATTTAAAAATAAGTAATTCAATTTGCTTGTCATAGAGTGTAGCCTTCCTTGACTTCACTCTACAGCTTGTGGTTTTTGTTAAATACAATGTTTGATTACTGAAGGTCTATATTTTAAATCTTTGTGAACTCTTATGGATACCGACTATACGGCTGACACTTGAAATTCCAGCTTTTGGGAGACTAAGTCAGGAGGATCTACATTAGTTCAAGGCCACCCTGACTACATAATGAAACTCTCTCAAATACAAATGAAATAAAAACAGTAAAATAAATTCTTAAGAACGATGCCATTGGTGTGTTGACCTAACCAGTTCCCTGTGTGGAAGGGGAGACCCTGACTTATGATGTTGCTGATATTCATGGTGCAAATGTCCCCACTACACTACTAATTGATATCAACTAAAGGAAATTTTTATTTTTTTATTTTTATTCACACATTTATCTTAATCAATACAGAGAAAGATTTAATAAACTTCAGACTTCTCCATAAGTAAAAGTAACTAGAGTAACCCAACACTAAGAATAATAAAAACAAAATATGACAAGTCCACAACCAACATCATACCAAATGAGGCAGAACTGAATGTGTCTGGTCTGAGACCAGGACATGGCAGCCTGCTCTGCGCACTCCTGTTCTCCAGACTAAAAGTCTAGGCACAGCAATGTGACAAGAAAAAGAAATAAAAGCATACAATTAGAAGAAGGGGAAGCAAATTATCTGCTGTACATGAAAATCTTTGAGTAATTAGTTATCATAAGTGATCAAAACATTACTTTCTTGGCCATTTGATATAAGAAATTTTAAGTGACATAAAATTATTTTTAAAAATTTCAGACCGGGTGTTGGTGGCACACACCTTTAATCCCAGCACTCGGAAGGCATAGGCAGGCAGATCTCTGTGAGGTCGAGGCCAGCCTGGTCTACAGAGCTAGTTCCAGGACAGTCTCCGAAACAATACAGAGAAACCCTGTCTCAAAAAAAAAAAAAGAAAGAAAGAAATTCAGATCATAAGTTTAATAGCCTCATTAAATTTAATATGTTTAATTTAACTTAGTATTATTTAAAAGTTTAAAAATTAATTGAAATTTAATGTTTAATTTAACTTAGTATTATCTAAAAGTTTAAAAATTAACTTCAAAAGCAAATATCACCACAGTTTTATTAGTAATACAACACAACTAGTCACAGCTAAGCACAGCTATGTAAAGTGAGCATGGCATCATGCTACAAAGCATCATGTACTCTCTAAAATCTGGGAATCACTTAATGCTATACACAATGAGGTTTTTTTGGTTTTTGTTTTGTTTTTTTTTTAGAAAAACCATCTTTTCTGTTTTTATCTTTGATTTAAAAACCAGAGAATATGAAGAGTTAAGTGAAAAAAGTAAAAATTCTATATTTCATTAATCTGAAAGTGACATTGCTTATGCTTTTAATAAAAACTTGGGTAGCTTGTCTTTGGTTGGGTACACACAACTCCAGGTCCATGCAATGTGCACCGCTCAAAGCAAGAATTTTGCACAGTACATATATACTGCTTGCTTTTTCCACATAAGAACATTGTCTTAAAGATTGTGTTAACTACGTATCTGAATTGTCATTATAAATAACTGTATATTTTATTATATTCGGGTTTTAAATTGAACTAAAAAGCTGATATTTGAGAAAAAAGTAAGATATAAAGCCATCATTTGGCTTTCCACAGAGTATTTAGCTTTTGTAATAACAGGCAGAAATGCCACCTTGCTGAAGCCCCGCCGTCTATCGAGACTGTGGGTTAAACTGCTCTAGGTTGAGCTATTCCAAACTACTAATGGAATCATATTTAAAAGGCTAGATGTAGCCAGGCATTGATGGCACATGCCTTTAATCCCAGCACTCGGGAGGCAGAGGCAAGCAGATTTCTGTGAGCCTCCAAAACTACAGAGAAACCCTGTCTCGAAAAACCAAAAGAAAAAAAAAAGACTAGATGTAGATGAAGATTTGCTGAGGTTGGTATCATCTCCTCAGGGGTCACATACCCTTCTGCTTCCAGGCTAGTCTTATGGACCACAGGTCCTTGTTCTTCATACAAATAAATAAGTCTTTGACATTTACAGCTCTTGCAAAGTTCCAAATAGATTCATCAGTTTCCTCCTTTGCTTTGAAGCATTGAGGAGAGTATTGCTATCAAACAATGAAACTTTCTTTAAGGGGTCCTTCAAAGTACTTGAAAAAAGTACATAGAACTAAATCTTTTAATGTTTGTCCCTGAAATAAACACAAGACTATATTACATTGTCTCTTTTGTTGCACAAATAAATCAGTATAGATTTACCTTTTGAAGTTTAAATTTTAAATCAGCATGGATTTAGTGAACAGCAAACTGGATCCATCACATTGTGCTCTACTCCAACAGTCTGTCAGTCTGTCCACCAGTCAGTCTGTCCTTGACCACTGGAGTCTGAGTACTCTGCACTCATGTTGGATATGGATATTTTCAAAGCAGGTTACCTCCAGCCTAGCCATAATCTAACAATAATAAAAGCTTATTTTCTGCATATATCCTTTCTCTCCTGTAAGTTCCTCTATAATATAGTCTACTGTTGTTGGTTTTCCTCTTGACAATGAAATTATAACCTTCTTAGAGCACTGCTTACTAAGAGTAAGAGCTTAGTCCATAACTAGTCAACCTGCCTGTTGCTGCACTGAATTTTTTTTCAAAGTTTTCTGGCTTTGGCTTGAGTTTCATGTTCATGAAAGATGTTCCCTGAATGTAACCCAAATCACAAGCTAGCTATACTTCCAGATTTTACTGTTTCTTTAATTGAAGGCTTATTGTTGCTTTGGTTGCAACATTATCTGGAATTGTTCTGTGAAGCACATTATTTTTCATTTACATGTCCAGCCCTCTGTGGTCTTCCCTACTTGTATCTGAGTGCACAATCAGAGTCATGTCATTTATGTCTCTTCCAAATGTATTATAGATCTTTTTTATTTTTTTCCTCATGTCATTGCCAGAACTACTCATTTTCTTTTCCATGATATTTTTCATGACAACAAGAAAATGTTTTCACGATAATCTTTGGTAGTAAATACACAATAAAGTGTTGAGCCATAGAAACTAAATCCCAGCTCATTGGGTAAGTAAATTATTATACCTGGAATGACAGAGCATAAAATTAACAAACTTCAGAATCACCCCACTGGCTTCTGTGTCATGCAAGCATGACAGCAGTCACAAATATCAAAATATGACCAGGAAAATTATCATGTATTACATAGATGCAAATTAAATCAGTATTCTAGCTCTTTTTTCCTTTTAGAGTTGGGGGAGTGCATGGGTTAACTGAATCCTTTTTAAAGGCATTAACAACAAAAGATTGGTTTTGTTTAGAGCATGCTCCATAAAAGTGAAAATAAAGAGAGACATTATTTTGCAGAAAAGAAAGTTTCTGTTCAAATACAGCTCTGGGATTTTCTACATGTTTCTGTAGACAGTTCAGGCTTCTTTTGACATCATTTTTAATAAACAGCAATACAATCCCAGATCACTGGAGTAAATGAATGCGTTTGCAGCATTCATTTGGCACCACATTCCCCTGATGATTATGGCATTTGATATGTTCTTTTTTGCCCTCTTTGTCAGCCTGGTTCTTCATGTCAATCTATAGTCTTTTATGTGGTTAACTTGACAGATGCAGGAAATTGCTGCCAAGCTTTGAAATGATTTTTTTCAGCGGTGGCATCTGGGTATCAGATGGTCCTCTTGGCTGGCCTCTTGTCTTGCTGCATGTTGGTTTTAGTGGGGTCTGGTGTAGCATCACCTGTTGCTATGCTCCCTTTTCCTCCCATATGTCCATTTCCCATGATTCAAGGATGAATGTGAGAATAAAAACTACAGTTCTGTCTTTATTTTTGAAGGAAAAAAACAGTACAGAAATATGTTAACAAGGTGCAGAGTTCTCTCTCTGACAAAGGGATACTTCCTTTTGGCTGGCATGCCTAATCAGCTAATAATTTGTTTGCAACGAACAAGTTTTTAGAACATTTTAAAAGAAAGGCAAGGAGGATGCTGATTAATGAGTGGAAATGTCAGAACTGCTTTATTTCCATTAAGTCAAATTATGTACAGCATAATTAAGGGAAATCATGTATTCATTTTAAAGACAAAATTATTCTCTCCAAAATAATTATCTTGCCCACTTACAGAATCCCAAAATCCCACTGTTTACATTTATATCATGTTTTTTAAAACTAAGAAGAGCTGCAGGAAATGATTGTTGTGAGTGAGAAAGGCTTTCTTCATATTAGTAAATTTAATGGATGTGGATACTTAGAAAGGCCAGAATCTACTAAAATAATAAAAGAAATAAATAATCCCTCAACTCTCAAGAGCTCTGTCATCTTCTCTCTATAGGTATTCATCTTGTGGCCTCCACACCTCTTGGATATCCCATTCACTTTTGTTAGGATCACAACTCTAAAATATTCCAGCAGCACAATTTCATCGAATCCCCTCAAATGCAGCAATTTTCATAGATTCTAATTCATATTCTAATTTTCAGTCTCTAGGACAAAACACACTTGTAACTGTTTGAGGCATTGCTTTTCAAGGGTTTGAGTTTTATGCTATGAAACTATAGTGTACAAACATTTTTTTCAGGTCAATTTTTTAATTTAAATTAGAAACAAGCTTGTTTTGCATGTCTTTCCCAGTTCCCTCTTCCTCTCTTCCTCCCCTGCCCCCCACTGGCCCCCTATCTCATCCCCTTCCTGCTCTCCAGGGAGGGTGAGGCTTTCCATGGGGGATCTTCAAAATCTGTCACATCATTTGGAGGGAGCCCATTCCACATAGAGGGATACTCTCTCAGCCTAGACACAGGGGCTTACAAAATGTTTTACCAAAGGCTTTTTCTTATTCATATTTGGTTATGTTAATACCAGGATGGTTTCCCATTTTGTGGATCTCCACTGATATTTTATTTTCTCTGTCTGGCCAAATGCACTCTATTCTACAATTACAATTACCAGACTGAATTTTAAGACATGTTGGATGTGTTTCAAAAATACTTGTTTCCTTGTAAAAGTCATTCCACTCAGGAGGCAGAGTTGAGAGGATTGACTGTGAGTTCAAGGCCAGGCTGGTCCATATAATATAATGAATTATAGGACACTTAAGCTATATAATAAGACACTGTATCAAAAAATTCAATATGTAACTTCTATTGTTTCTTGTGTGTTCATAATTATGGTAAGAAACTGGAAAATACTGAGAAATTATTTGATGTTATCCGTCCTTAATAAAGTTAGTTTTATTATTGTAAATCTTAACATGCACTGGTATTTACTCTCAATGACTTCTAGAATTAAATAATTTAATTATCACAACTTAATGAGTTGCTTTTTATTATTATTATCAACTTCTCTCAGATAGGAAAAGGCCTGAGATTTATTTTTTATTGCTTTTAATTGAAAATAGTTTCCTCACTCATACTATATATTACCAGTTTCCCTCCCTCCACGCTTCCCATACTCCTCCCACATCTTCTCTCTCCTAGATCCTCACTTCCTCTGTTTTCTCTTCAAAAAAGAGTAGACATCCAAGAGACAACAGCAAAACTGGACAAAACAAGATACAGTAAGAAAAGGCAAAAGCCCTCATATAAAAGCTGAACAAGGCAACCCAATAGGAGGAAAAGAGTCCCAAGAGCATGCAAAAGAGTCAGAGATACACCTGCTCCTTCTGTTAGGAGTCCCACAAAAACATTAAGCTAACAGCCACAACAAATACACTGAGAACCTGGTGCTGACCCATGTGCTTGCCATCATCTGATTCCAGCAACGCGTTTTCAGAGCTATATTACATGGGCTTTCATAAAGTAGTACTGAAAATAATAAAAATAGGAACTAGAACACAATGTAAATCATTGATTTTGCTACCTCTGGAGTTTTTACACTTTCTATAGCTACAAGGCACATCAGGATAGGCTAGCCACTCTCTTGGGTATCTTTTGAGTTCTCTCCTTGGAGATCTCATCCAATCATCTTGTCAAGAGAGCAGTCTCTGATCACCCTGGTACCAAGTTTTCCTCACTTCCTTTCCTGCCTGCACGCAAGTGCAGCATCGTGAGAGTGGAGTGGAATTACAGAGGAGGGAGAAAACACCAAATGCTGTTATTTGAAGGGATGGCTGGATTCTTTGGCTGTTGAGGGTGGAACAAAATGAGAATAAGGTCACAATAAATAAGGGAGATTATGCTCTATGGTATTATTCCTTCCAGTAAAACATCACCCATTGAAATGGGAGAGGAATGCTGCAAACAGTACTAAGGGGCTTAGTTCCAGGACATTTGCTAGGAAGGACTCTCAGTATGGTCAGGAAGTGGTGTCTATTCACAACCAAGCCATCAGTAGCTGTGTTGGTAACACAGTTCCTTATTTTTCTTTTGTTTCTCTAACAGAAAGGTTGTGGCTATCACCTGGATCTGTTAATGGTGGCCGTCATGCTGGGGGTATGCTCCATTATGGGACTTCCATGGTTTGTGGCTGCCACAGTCCTCTCCATCACTCATGTCAACAGCCTGAAGCTGGAGTCAGAATGTTCCGCTCCAGGAGAACAACCCAAATTTCTCGGCATCAGAGAACAGCGGGTGACTGGGCTCATGATTTTTATTCTTATGGGTTCATCAGTTTTTATGACCAGTGTTCTGAAGGTAATGAAATTATCCCTAATGAAAGAATAAATATGTTTAAGGTAGCATTTTAATATGGACCTAAATTTGCAAATATTACATGGCATGAGATAAAAGTGACTTTGAAAAACATACATAATTCTCCTTTACCAAGAGTGAACGAAATTTTGTCCTGTGTTTTAGAATCCTTAAGTACTTGAAAGTATAATTTTGTTATACTTCCTGACAGTAACGATTTTGATTTGTAATTTTCAAGCTATAGGAAAGGTCATAACTGCCAAGTAGCTAGTGACTGAATTCCCTATAGTCCAGGCCAGGTTAGAGGTTCTATTATTTTGTCAGTCTATAGATTGAATGTTATTTGTTTAAATCAGTGTTGCAGACAAGACAATGATCACACCATGGACACATTGACAGCTTTTTATTTCAAAGGCCTCACACAAATACCTCATGTAAATCCTCACTGCATATAAGAAATTTTCACATTTTTAATTATCCAATTCCGAGTAGCAGAAAAGAGGGATTGTTTTGTGATATATATATACACACACACATATATATATATATATATATATATATATATATATATATCTGACAGATATTCTTGCAGAATGTTAGCCACATTATAAATTATCATTCATTTTGATTGCTTAAGTATCAAATATCAATTGAATTATTGAATTTTCACAGCTTCATGTAGCTTATCATTGGAAAGTTGTATTTCTGTTATATAAGTAATAGGATACTGAATAAAATGAGCTAGCCCAATATAAGAAATTTGAACAATCCACATGCTAACAAATATCTGCCATAATTAAGGATGAAACTGTAAAAGTAAATTTCATTCTTTACCTTTAATTCAAATATTTTCCTATTTTAAAACAGAATGTAAGTTGCCTTTCAAGTAGCAAATAGTCAGTATTTGTTGTAGCACAATAATAATTTATGGTACTATTTCTTAGGAATCATGTGATTTTTAGGATAAGTTTAACACTTATAACTGCATTATTACTATCATCTCTTAGACATTGAGAAACTAAGGAGCAGGCAGCTTTGTAGCTGCTTAATAGTAATCAGATAGGAAATGCTGAGGTAGAATCTGAAAATACGTCTTCCAATTCCATACTATACTTGTTTCTAGAATGTTTTTAATTTTCCATTTTCCCCCTCTGTGGCAAGTGCAAAATTGAATGACCACATGTTAGAAAATAATGTTTCCCGTTTTCTAATTGTTTTTTTACAGTTTATCCCCATGCCTGTGTTATATGGAGTGTTTCTTTACATGGGTGCTTCATCTCTAAAAGGAATTCAGGTAAATTACTTTACTCTTACAGGCATACCTGTTGTAACTTAGAGTATAGATGCTGAGTCATGTGACACCAACCATCATGTGAGGAGAGGCTTTCTGACCACATGTATATTTTATGAAGGTGGCCAGAATGGTAGATACCACAGAAGATTCTCTGCTAAGTGGACACTCTCTCATTTATGCACTATATATTCAACCCCAAAGATGGATAAACTTAAATTACTCTCTCTCTCTCTCTCTCTCTCTCTCTCTCTCTCTCTCTCTCTCTCTCTCTCTCTCTCTCTCTCTGTGTGTGTGTGTGTGTGTGTGTGTGTGTGTGTAGGAGAATGCATATATATGTGGAGGACAGAGGACAACTCTGGTATTCACTGTCTATCACTGTCTAAGTTAGAGTTACTGGCCAGTGAACCCATAGATGTTTCTAATCCTATTGCCCCAACACTGGGATTGAAACCAAGCACCACTATGAAGTGAACTCTAAGGATCTAACTTCAGTCTTCATGCTTGTATGGCAAGCACATTGCCAGTTGAGCTGCTGTTTGTCATAGACATATTAAGACTGAGAAAAAGTTTTGTTTTCATCACCGTTTTAGAAAATGAATTAAGTTCATTTCAAAATATATACAAATGCAATCTTTGATAGTTATCAAGCCACGCTTATGGACTCTATCCATAACAATAGAACAAAATACCATATACAAAAGATTTATTTTGGCACATGGTTTCAGGAGATTTCAGGCCATCATAGCAGGGAAGCCACAGTAGAGGAATTTTGTGTACATCAGTGGGAACATGTGGCAGCAAACCAGAAAGCAGAGAGTGTGGGACTTGAACTATGGGCTGGCTATAACTTTCAAAGGATTGGCACCCAGGGACAGATTTCTGCTACACCACACCACTTGCTAAAGTTTCCATAGCCTCCCAAAGCAGTGCCACCCCTGGAGATCAAGTGTTCAGAACATGAGCCTGTGGGGAACACTTAAGACTCAAACCATATCTGAGCAGGAGGACACAAAGACATAGGTAGAACGGCCATGGCGGGATGGAGGTAAGAGGGCCATGGCAGGATGGAGGTAGAGATTGGACTTTTTTTCTGATGCAATCTAAGAACACAGGAAACTGTTGAGAGCTGAAATATTGGAAAGATGTTCTCTCTTTGGGATCACAGAGGGATCCATAGTCCTGGGAAAATCCTGATTTCAGACTTTGAACCTCCACACTTGGAAAATACATTTTTATAGCATTAAACCAAAATGCTGTAGTACTTTGTTATGCCACTTTAAGAATGAATACAGATTTCTACTTAAATGTACGTTTCAATTGTCTTTGTATATAGTGATGTTCTTTGACCAGAACATTTCATTTTCTTCATGAGAGACTACAGTGAGGTGTATTTATTGTATAGATTTTTTTTAAAAACCCTAAAAACAATAATATGATGCACAATTTTTGCTATGGTGTGGCTACCTTAAGTGCTGACCAAAACACACAGATGAACTAAATCCTGGATGGGACCCAATAAACACAAGGTCTCTGTCCCTGAGAAAACTGACCTGGAGAAGCAGTGTGCAGACCTTGGAACAGTGTACGCTGTGAGACTGAGACAAAGCTTCAGTACACAAAGTGTAGGGACTCTATGCTTCAAGGAATGGGGGACATGGTAGGGAACTGGTGTGTTTTCAAATTTTACTCAAAGATTTAATTTGCTCATTGAAAGCATCATGCATAAAATGCATTTTAATAGAATTAGTTTAGTGTTTTCATTTGTTTTTGATTTTTGATTTTTTTTTTGCCTTTGGCAAAGATTCAATGAGTAGTGATTTTGTCTGTAAGTGGAAAGCATTTATTATTAGGCCTCAGGCTCAGCTAAATAGAGCAGCAGAAATTTAAAAAACAAAGTGAAATAATTGTGGGTAGATCCTGACAAATTTTCTCCTAATTCCATTCAACTGACTTTTTTTTAAACTCAAGTGATTGAGAATTAAACAAAAACGTCTAGTTTTAGAATTACTTCGGATGTGGTCCTTTCAAATGAAATAGAGGAGAACATCAAAGTCCTCGAGTCAAATTTAATGAGTTTTAAATCACATTAATGAAATAGGAAGCCTAGGCACACTTTAACAGGTCTCACACTGAAAACAGAATTGGTGGAAATTTAAGTGAATAGCTAAAATTCCTATTGAGAAGTGAAGCTAACTGTATGGGGAAATACTACATGTCACTACTGGGACACATGAAAGCCAAATGCAAAAGTTAGAATATATTTATCATGATAGTTATTCCTGGAGTGATACTGGGCAAGCACATTAGCTGTCTATGTTGGATATCCTAAGGAGCATGCTACTTTGTTACAAGCAAATTGGAGGACTCTTTATGTCACCTGCCTTTTTGGCACTATTAAGGAACTTACTATGTAGGCTTCTCACTGTGAAATATGGCAGAAAAAACAGATCACAATGTTCTCATGAATGCTGTTTCTGTATTCAAATATATAACCACATCTATATTCATTCCAACATTGCAGGGATCCAAAGTGAAGCAAATGTGCCACTTAAACAATAACAATTGAAGCACCCACTCACTGAAGCACACTTATGCAACAACATAGCTCCCTAAATGGATAATGATGGGTGGGGAAAATTCTATAGGAACAGACATTCAGTTGTAAGCTAAAAGATTTTATTCTCTAGTCTTACTTTATTCTTACTTCCACCATGCACAAAATTATATCTGTTTAATGATTCCTAACTTTAAGAGATAGTTATGAAGTAGAAAAGACATACACACACACAAAAGGTGAGCCAAGAATGAGATTAGCAGTTAGTTCTGTCATGGGTTTCAGCAAATAACTTTGGAAGATTATGAATGAGTATTAGTGCATGAAGTAATGTGCATTTGATTATAGTTTACATAGCTGAAGAATGGTTGTGACACACATAAGACAGAGAATACCAAAGGGAAGATAGATTTGTGTTAAGTTTGATACACTATCACACCTCTCCCATATCAAATTGGGTTTTGACGAAACAGGGTAATCTAACTTTAACTCTACAGACAGTTGTTTATCTGAATAGTAAAGTTTGAAACATTTGATGATAAGTAGCTGATAGTTTTCTTATAGTAGCTGAGAAATATTTTATTTATCAGTGTTCTTTTAAAAATGTACATGTTAGTTATCATAAAAACTTATGAAATAGAATGACTGACTGTATCAAACACTTGTTTTCTAAATAACCACCTCTCACTGAAAGAATTATAAATAACAAAATTTGGCCTAAAGATTAAACAAGTGGCTTACACAAAATAAAGCTAATACGTAGTAAATTTATTCAATAAAATGTGTTGAAATAAGAGTCTATAAAAATGTAGTTTATAAAATAAATTTTAAGCTATTTTATCTATCATTATGACAAAATTGAAATAGAGATAATCCACAGATTGCGCTGAATCCATCTACTAAAGAGGCCCAAACCAGATAGTTTACATTTCTGTATGTGTCTGTGTTTATGAGCATTATATGTATGTATACATGCAGGTCTGAGTTACATGTACCTGTGTATGCTCAGACTCACATGTACATGTGAGTGTTCACGGGGAGGCCCTAGGTCAACACCAGGTGTCTTCCTCAGTCACTTGCTGCTTGTTTTCTGAGACCAGGTCTTTCAAGGAACCTGAAGCTCACAGATTTGCCATACTGGCTGACCAGTGAGCTTCAGGGATTGACCAGTCTGTCTGAGGCCCCACCAGAGCCAGGGTTACAGATAGGTTAAACTGTGTTCATCTTTTATGTGCATGCTGGAGATCTGAAATCAGATACTCAGGCAGGCACTAAAGGCTCTTTGGTGATTAAACTATCTCCCAGCCCCCAATAAAATATAATAAAACACTTTGGTAACATAAATATATGTAGGCCAAATCTTCATGCAAAATGTGTGTATTTCTAAAGACCGCATCAAAACCTGTGCTTTGGATCAAAGTGACAAAGCCAGAACAGCAGGGTTCAGTAGGCACTCTACAGAGCAGTGGGCTTTGAGTGGTGCTTGGGGGAACTGAGGGAGGTCTGGGTGTGCTCAACATGTGAAAGCCAAGGCCATGGAGATGGACGGCGCACTCCAGCAGAGGAAAAAACGCACACCAAGCATGGGAGGCCTAGGAAACCAATATTTGGGGACAAAGGGAAGAGATAAAGATGTGATAAGCTGAAAGGGGATGATCTTATTTTGTCTGCCTTAGTGCTGGTTCTCAAGGTAGCAAAATGTAGCTTTGGCTTTATTATATACAAACCCATTTAAATGATACCCTGTTACAATAGTATAAGAAATATAGTATACTGTTCAATAAAAAGAAGTCCAAACTGTATGTCAATTTTATGTCCTGCAATTTTCACAACTGTTTCATTTGAACCTTATATGAACATGCCAAATATCTAATTGTCCTTTGATTATTGTTGTCTTCTTCTTAAATGTAATATAGTCTGTTTAATCTTTTAGTTATTTGATAGAATAAAGCTCTTCTGGATGCCAGCCAAACATCAACCAGATTTTATATATCTAAGGCATGTACCACTCCGGAAAGTCCATCTTTTCACAATTATTCAGATGAGTTGTCTTGGCCTTTTGTGGATAATCAAAGTTTCAAGAGCTGCTATTGTCTTCCCTATGATGGTATGACACCTCCTTCAACTCTTTCTCATTCACTCATTTTTGGGAAACACATGAATTAAATAGAGTAGCCTCAAATCACTTTGAACAGTGATCGCAGTATAAACTTGGGCACTGAAATAGGGTTTGAAAAATATTTTGCATTTCATTGATTTAATGTTAGGTTTTTTCTTGGTCATTCATGGTGTGGTAGTTAATGGAAAGCAGTATGGAAAATATAAATATCTAAAAATTAGCACTGAGATCTACTAACACATATGAAAAATTAGGGAAATTTTTTCAAAACAAATTTTAGTTGAATGTTTCAGACAAAATTTAAATACATTTAAAAGTATAGTAAATTTGAATGACTATACATAATTCAAAAATTATTAGCATATATAAGAATCTTCTAATGTTCACTTATCCTAATTTGAGCTTTTAGTTATGTATGCATTTAGGGAAGCATAATCAAATATATTTTGTAGTTTAAATTTTTTTATTTACAAAGCCTTCAACATTGAATAAAATCTTAAATTCTGTCCTGGCAATTTGATAAGAAAAGGAAATGAAGAGGAAGAAAGATGAGGCCACATGTTTTATACACATGTGTTTTCAATTTTTAGTTTATTATCAGTCCTAATTCAGACTGGTCTATATTTCCTCTTTGTTTGTTTGTTTACATTTTAAACTACTTCATTATTTTCTTCAGGTATTAGCCCTGGTATTTGTGAGAAAGTTGATGGACTTCTTGTTTACCAAACGGGAACTCAGCTGGCTTGATGATTTAATGCCTGAGAGCAAGAAAAAGAAACTTGAAGATGCTGAAAAAGAAGTAAGTCAAAATAAAACTTGGTATTTTATTTAAGAGAGAAGAATAATTGGAGCTTTTTGCTAAACTAAATTGTTTTTTTTACATTAAATGGTGATTACTAAATGCAACAGGTAGAAAGATTTGGAAGTTTAATGTTTAAAAATATAACTGGGGCAGAGAGAGGGGGCAGAGATCTTACATGAGTAAGTCAACTCTACATGAAATACCTGCATTTAGTTACACTCCAAATTATAAGGCTTATTTTTCTGATTTCTTGGTCTTGGATGCAAAAAAAAAGCTGCTGAAGCATAACTGTTTCTGAGATATAGTTATGTAATGTTGATTGAATGTTTGAAAAGGAAATAATATGATACATCACTGTTGGTCATTTTTCTTGCTAACAGATTTTAATCAGTATATTTGAATAAAATTGTTGTTCTTAAAACAGACAAAATATCTAAGAAGAAAAATATGACCTGATTTGCTTTGAAAGTGGTTCGAGCTTTAAAAACATATTTGAGAAAACTTTGGGTTTTAGTTATCTTTTACAGATGACTGATCTATCGTGTTCTGTTTCATAAGAAGAACCAGGTTAGATATAAGTTTCATAAGATATATAAAGTCCCTATGTCAGCCTGGATCTTTTATGGAGGCTATTTAATTATACCATTTTTAGAGCATATGAAAACTATAAGGAATGTAAGTGAAAATAATGACCCATGCAACATTTTTGGCAAAGATTACAGAACCCAAAAATAAAATTTCCATGTATATATGAAATAGAAAGAAAACATCTTAGAAGAATTATTCATTCTTTCCAGTTTGGTTTTCACAGGTGTTTACTAAAAGCACTCAGTTTCTTTTCTATAGAAAATTTTTAGACCATATATATTTTTCTTTTTCCTTATAGATAACTTTATTATAAACATGAAAAAGGTTTTAGTTTTGTTCAGTCATTTAAATAGGCCAGATTGGACTACAAATCCTGATGAATTTTTGGTCAAGAACATTCTACCAGCATAGCTTTATAACATGTGATTGGTGGTTCCTCCCTCCATGGTTTCCACATTTAGAGACATCGTGATGGTGTATCTTATTTCTGTATGAATGTTTCAGTTTTCTAAAATGTTGTAGAAGGCATATATAGAATCATATTTCTAGTAATGTTAATGCATCATTAAAATACTATGAAGCTATCACTGTTCTTTACTTTTCTGTTTACTATATTTATCAACTTAGTAGTAGAGATTTTTTCAATAGTTCAATATTTTTTTATTGATTTTTTGAGACAGGGTTTCTCTGTATTGCTTTGGAGACTGTCCTGGAACTCATTAGAAACAATGCTGTTTTACATGTCAATCCCAGTCCCCTCTCCCTTCCCTCTTCCCCTGCCCTCCACTAATCCCCTATCCTATCCTCTTCCCACTCCCCAGGGAGGATGAGGCCTTCCATGGGGAATCTTCAATGGTGGTTACATCATTTGGAGCAGGGCCTAGACCCTCCCCCTTGTGTCTAGGATGAGAGAGTATCCCTTTATGTGGCTAGGGATAAATACTGATCCACTACCAGGGGCCCCATAGATTGCCCATAGGCACCCACGTTCAGGGAGTCTGGAACAGTCCTATGCTGGTTTCCCAGCTATCAGTCTGGGGTCCATGAGCTCCCCCTTGTTCAGGTCAGCTGTTTCTGTGGGTTTCTCCAGTCTGGTCTTGACCCCTTTGCTCATCACTCCTCCCTCTGTAGTAGAGATATTTTAAGAATAATAATTTAACAGTTCATACATGTATGTACTAAAACTTATTCCACCTGAAGAAAATTCCAAGATTTAAAAGTTTGAAGACGAAATTTGTTGCCTATGAATTTTCCCCATCTTCCCAGTAATTATGTTACTAAGTTCATTCATCTAGTAACATACATATTATGTTTTCTTTATTGTATTGTTTTTATTTCCTGTCAAATACCTTTACTGCTTCTGGTGGAATAAGGTGGAAGCTCTCTTTGCCATAGAGTACCATCCCTTTCATACAGCATTCTCTTGAGGCCATTCTCAGAATGAAACAGTCTTAGAATTTCATTTCACTCAGCGTTTTAAAAGCTCCTGGGGAAAATGCTATGTACTCTACTATGCTATCATTGATATTCTTCTCTACTGTTATAGAAAGACAATGTTAGATTCTCCTGTTTGTCCATGACATGGCAGAGAACAAGTTGACCATAATCACAAATTTATTAGAACTAACCATGGTAACTTTGCACAGTGATATCCAGCCAAAAGGTTCTTCTGAAATATGATTATTGCTAATAGAATCAGCCATTCCTATGGTCCACAACTATTTATAATGTATATGTGGCACTTATATATCTGTGTGTATCATATTTGCATTTTGGGAATTTATTAACTCCACTGAGACCTTGTATAGAGTTTTTAACTTTTTTTCTGTTATATCACATCATACATCATTTTGCTCTGATGGTGTTTACTGTTTTGTGAATTTGAAAGTAAAAATTTTAGGAGTAACTAGATATCACTAAATTTCCTAGAACTTATGCTTTCAGCAATATGAAAATAGAATAAGGCCTACTGGGGAAATTTTATAGTTAAATTCTTCAGCTCCAAAGAAGAGGGGAAAATAAAACCTTGCAATATATTTACCAGAAGGGTTTAGAAATCCTTAAAGTCTCATGTATATTATGGCAATGATGCTTTCATATGATCCCAGCTGCATGGAAATAAGTAAGAACAGCCTATACTCAAACGCTAAAAAAGCAGTTCTAAGTAGTGCAAGGAAGACATGCACCAGAGGAACGGAGAGACGGGGAAGGACATGTGAAGAAGCCCATATTCTCTTTAGAATTAGCATTGGAAAAGGAGACTCAGTGAGGTGTGGAGGAGGACATGTGGGGGATGACACTGAAGCTTGAATCCAAGGTTCATTTTCTACTTGAGGGCCTAGATTTGGGTATTTTCTTTTTTCTGAACCTATGAATTCCCCTGAAAGATACAATTGTGCTGTAGTGTCTTGTACCAATGCTCAGTGCTCCAAGAGATTGTACATTAGAGTAGGTAATGGATAAGTTCTTCAGAAATGTTCAAATTAATTGAGAAACTCTGATTGTGATCTGGTAAGATGATAGACGGCAGAAATGTCTTAGCTCTCTGAGACTTGAATTTAAAGTGAGCTCACCTCTGATCCTTTTGATGATAGTTACAAGCTTGTACCTTTATCCTCCAGGGTTTTCCTATCAGTATCCCATTTCTGGTCTTATGGCGCTGAGAAAACATTCATTTGACCTTAAAATTCAATAATGAGTTAAGCAGAATAAATAGCTACACAGGCCAGTCCAAGGTCGCAGAGCTTCTGTTCCAAATTTTCATGTACTTCATGCATATGCATATGCATATGCTTCAGTTTTTAGAAAGAAAGGATTATAATCAGGGTAGAAATGAATATTGGAACCCTGACATTTTGCACATTGCTCTGTGTAAAGGGAAGACTGCAGAATCAATTCTGGATGTCCAAATGTGCTCAGAGTACCAACATGCCTTCCTTCCTTAAATGTTCTCTAGGACATTGTACACATGACAAAAGGACCACTGCTAAATGCAGGAGATTCCAACAGAATGTTTGCTCTCAGGTGGAAAGCATGGGTGCCCGTGTTAGGTAGAAGTGGAGATGCAATTCTGTGGAGTACTCGCATCCACACCTTCTTCATTACTGAGGGACTGTACTAACAAATACCCTACAGAAGAAAACAAAAAGAAGGCAAGTGGGGCCTTGTGATTGTGAAAAAAAAATTCCAAGAAAGTACAATCTAAAAATATGCACAATTAAACAAATGAAAGCAAATGCTTTACTTCTCAGAAAGGTAAGAATTGGCTGTGGATTTAGGAAGTACATCCTAATTACTAACTTGATGCTTGTCTTTTATAATTCAACTGTACGATGGGACAAGTATGTTTATCTTCTTCAGCAGCACTTTCCTAAAATGTGGTCCCAGGGTCTCTGCTGTACTGGCCAGCACCTTGCACTATTTTAAGAACGCAAATTCATAGGCTTCATAGGCCTATTTCATCAATGCTGTGCATTAGAGCTGGCAACCTATTTTCCTAAGACCTCCTGGTGATTTTGACATCTGAGATAAGTCTTTTATTCAATGCACAGAATCAGTCTGTATAATACAACCAAGTTCTTAATACAAGATTACTGTGTCAGAATTTTTGTACTTAACGTAATTTAGGTGGTTACTTAAAGGTGCTGAATCAGAACCAGTGAGGTTGATTGCTCAGCAGTAAAGGCCCTGGCCATCAAGCCTTCCAAACAGATTGATTTCTGGAACTGACATATAGAAGGAGAAAGCAAACTCCTGCAAGTTGTCTTCTGACAGTCACATGTGCTCATCTTACACATGTATGCACGCACATGCACATACACGGTATAAACACACACACGTCTGAGTCATAAGTTCTGATGCCTCTATGGACTTACCAAAATTCTATAAGCCCTACCCCAATTTTACTTTTTAAGCTTTTATTGTTTTATGTTATCAACTCTTTGATCTGTTGGAAATCAGAAATTAAAAGTATAATATTTATTATTTTCAAATTTATACACATGTAATATCTGAAGCTAATTGTATAGTTGAGAGAAGGAAATGGTAGGAGTTTCTTAAGTTCTGTATGCCTCTTCAATAAAGCAAAGTGTTTAACATGACGCCTGAATTCCCTCCCATTCCTTAGGAAGCATAAATAGCAAAATGAGTAGTTATTTACCCCCTTAATAAGTTAAGTATCTTTGTGAATGCTGACTCTCTGCTATTGTTTAAACTTTGAGATTTTTAAGGGCTTCCAAATAAATATAGACTTGCCCCCAAATATATAATTTAGGTCATCTATTTTACTGAAGGTAAATGTCAGGTACTATAATATAGCATTTATTTTTCTGCTATTACAAAATAAAGTTCAGACTAAGGATGATGTAATATCATTCAGTTTATTACTAGAATCTTACAGATTGTATTTC